CCCCCCCCCCCCCCCCCCCCGTCACTTTTGTAACACGTCATATGGAACCCAAGAATAGTCTATCTCTAGAAAATAACGTGGTTTTTTGCTCAATCGTGCACTGTAAGTTATTTCAATACATCAAAATAATCCCGCCTCGTATCTTGTACTGGCAAAGTGGGATGATATGAACAGCCCCTTATTCAGCAAATTGCGCATTCTGCCTTTGATCCCTTTTCGAGTGAGGCAGCACTTTCCTTGCGGTAGTAACTTCTACTACAAAAATAATTTATGAAAAAAATGGATACAAGTAAAGATTATTGTTATTGTTAATCGGATAGATCAAAAGCGTCCGTCTGGATAATGACCCCTTAATGGTACCGGTAGTCAAATCTGAACCTCTCTATTATGGAGACGACGGACGGTTGGGCAGGTATGGGAAAGACGGGCAGTTATATGGAGACAACTGCAACAACAATTTCAGAACGATGAGCTCTTTTTTATACTTTCCCATATAGTTATAAAACGGTAAAAACTAATTATATAAAAATAAGATTGAGAATTATTTATATGAAATAAACATTACGAACGAGTTACGTTACAGAGTGACTGTAAGTTTAACGAGCACGTGAAGCGTAAGTTAATGAAAGCGAACAAATGCTTACATGTTTTAAGAACGTTAAGAAAAGAACAATACAATCAGACAGAAATAGATAATTTGTTTAGATCTTTAGTACTGCCTAATATTACTTATGGGCTCTCCATTTACGGCGCTTCTGAATCAGACCTTAAGGTAGTTCAGCGTTTTTTAGATAGATGCTACAAACGTAGTTATATCTCATTCCCGATCAGAGTGCTTGAGCTATTACAAAAGCAGGACACGAAAATTTTCAACACAGTCACCACACCTCTGATGATCATCCCCTCACAGTAATTATACCAAAGAAAAAAGAAGTACCTTTTAATCTACGTAAGAAACGATGCCTTTATCCCAAAATTAACACGCAGCGTTTTAAGACCACATTTGTAAATATACTAATTTTTAAATATAATTTAGTGTAGTATTCCATTCTTGAAAATGTAACATAAGATATGTATCTTTATCTTGTGATTAAATAAAGACTTATAATAATAATAATAATGAACTAATAAGCCGCAAGAAACGCTTTCATTAATAGCAACTCCATCTTGAAGCGCGATGCATTGCGGTCTAGCCAATGGCATGTTAAAACTAGGGGGCGGTTGTTCAAAGCACGATTAACGCGCGAACCTAGGTTAACATTTAACCAGCTGTTTTGGTTTCTGCACGTCGATCTGTTCTAACCTTACTAGAAAAATAAAACTTTTAATGCAGACAAGATATCTCGAAAAATATTTCTAAGAGTTTGTATTTTTAAATACAAGCTATTGGGAAGCTTGCTTTCAAGTTTTACACTAACCTATGGCTATGCTATAGGCTGACCAGCTTTCGAAGCGGCGCCAAATTAAAACCTGGCACCACACGGTGAAAATGGTAAAAAAGATTGACAAAGTATAGATCAATTTCAGGAGCACTGTAGCGCTTTACTTAGCTCACAAAAGCCTGGAGAGGATTCGCTTTTACTACGGTCGTTTGCACAAAAGCCTATAAAGGATGAACAGATGCGGATAACATGCAATAAAGGTTTCCCTGATCTGACCCATGTTTGTAAGGAAAAGATTCTAATCTGACTAGCTAATTACGCTTAATATATAGCCCTCATTTTACCTCAAGCTGTTTGGCTGATGTAAAGACAATGCTTTTAGCTTTTTACGTACAACTGTCTATTCGTAGACGCAAATGACAGTATCTTGCATGCCTGCTGTATTAGTAACTATTCTAAAGAATTCCCCTGCAACGGTAGAATTCCCTTACCCTCGGTAGATCACAATGCAGTGCAAATTCAAAATCGCGTTGCTATTGATGAAAATGTTGATTAGCAGTGCAAAGAAAATAGCCCAATTGTACATCGTAGGCTACTCATCAAATCAGAGAGTCAGAGATACATGTACTACCCATGCAATATTTACATAAGATGTCAGTCAGGCTTGTTATAATATTTTAAGTATATTCTAACATACAGTATAGTTCACTTCTGGTGAAAAGAAGTTTGTCAATATACCTGTATCTGCACATAAATGCAGTAAATATTTTCAATTAGACTAAATAAAAGCAAATATATCTTATATTAAATCCTATTTCATAAAGATGACATCCCGCATTATGAGAAAGTTATTCCACTAGCTTCTAATTGAGGATCAAGTCCAAAATCCTTTTCTGTTGCTGGTATTTCAGTATGGGTGCTCAATAATTTTAGACATTCATCGTTGACAGAAATGAATGTTAAAACGTTTAAGGCAATCATCTCCTATACCCAGGGCCTTCTAGCGGTTAAAAATGAGTTCAAGGTAAATGCAGGCGCGGGCACTTCAATCCAGCCATTTCATATACCATGAAGACTTGCTGCGTCTTTGCAAAAAATACAACACAAATTGGTCTCCTAGTCCTAACACCGCGGGTAGATTAGCACCAATTTACTTCAAATAAATAACACCCTTAGCTACTATTCATTCTTAGCAAATGAAAAGCAGGAGACCTGTGTGAAAAACAACAGGCTGGCATCTTTATGAAAAGCGTTACTTCATAATTATATACATTAATATTTCTGAACACTGCATACAACGGCCAAAAACCAAGTCTCGTGGCCAAAAACCAAGTCTCGTGCCCAGAAGACATGCCATGAGTTAAACAATTGCAGCCTACCGCTACAAAATATGTTGTTTGCCATATACTCAGTATTACAATTCAAAAGTACTTTTGCACGGCTTTGCAGTAACGACAATGGCGTTTTAAGCAGGTGACATCATAAAATGTCTGTGCTATAGTGTAGGTATAGTGTCAATAACATAAACAAGCTTTCGTTGGTAGGGATGCAACTACCTGAAAATATAAGGAGACCTTCACCTTATATTTTTCAGGTAGTTCCATCCCTACCAACGAAAGCTTGTTTGCAATATACACGCTACATGTATCTAACGTCAATGCCAATGGTAATCTGTTTGTATAACTCGAAGACAGAACTTATGTGAGCTTAAATTCCTATTTCACGTAAATAAAGTAACATTTTTATCGTAATGTGTCGAACTTGTGTTACCAACATTTAGTTTTGTGGGGCCGTGCAAAATATACATACTTTGTTGTTATACTTGATATACAGCAAAATTAACCTAAACAACAAATATATACTAATATATATAACACATTAAGTTTGGCTTTTAAAAGACATCAATAAAGTCAACATCATCTAAAATATTAGAATCACCCGAATCCAACTGGGGCTTTTCGTCAGAATCAGCTGGCGTGTCAAAATCAGGGAGATATGGGACTGCTTCCTCCAATATTCCAAATTTCTTCAAAAAGACCACTAAATCATGCAAACCAGCTACAGGTGGTGTGGCACGAAAATGTGAACTACTCATTTTCAGAGGAGAACCATGCATATCGTAATGTCGGGCTAACTCTATGGCTGCCTTAAGATCGCTGCGCTTAATCATGGTCATGACCATCTCCGTGAATTTCTTCTTACTGATAAGGTAATCCGCAAACTTCAAATGGTGTTCCGAATTTTCTAGACATTCGTACGATCCTGATGCGTCAAGGAAGTCAAAAACAAGAGCTTGGGCAACGTCAGGGTTAACAAAACATTGACCTAAAGCCCGTTCTTTGGATATTAAGTCCAAGATTTTCTCTGGGGTTGTAACAGACATCAGCTTCGTTAGGTTACTAGATAACATTTTTCGTGGCAGCAAAGTTAAGCATGCAAGTGCATATGAATGCATGCCAAGTTCCAATAACTTCTCGAACACAAATGAGGTGACTGCTTCTGTCATGATAGGACATTTCTGCAACAACTGCATGGATGTTTGGCAGAAAATTTTTTCCTCAGAAGATAAAGGATAAACAGCTTTCTGTAGCGACTGAATTACAAGATCCGTCCATATCTTCATAAGGTTAGACGTCTGCCAAAGGTTTGGGAATTGGGTAAGACGTGGTAGAAGGTTACCCAAATACGTGGTTAAGCCAAGATTGGAGAGTTGTCGAAGAATATTCGTCCAAATCTGTGGGTCTGAAATCTTTGAATCCAAGCATATATCAGCAATCAGTAAAATTGCATGAGCGTTATCTTTGTGATTCTTCCAAAGGCCTTTCACGAGACCTTCTTTGTTGCAACGTTGAAACGACTCGACGGTTTTACTTAAATGCAAGTGTTCCAATTCAGAAAGATAAACCAAGGATTTCATGTAATTCTTGAGGCTATCGATTGATTCATTGGCAACAGATTCAATAACTTCCTGCGACGCAATGTTGAAGAGCAGTTTCATTGCTCTAACTCGGTTTTCGTATGTTATCTTGGACAGGCCTTGTCTATAGGCAAAATTCAATAGGAAAAGGGCATGCTTCTGCACAGAATCAGCCTGCATAAGGTATAACACACGCTTAAGATTGTCCTGATCTTTTGCTCGCTTTTCAGCTGTGGAATCTTCCGGAGATCTCATACTACGTGACGATGACGACGGTTGCCACTCCATCAGAAGGTGATTACGAACTCTCGTAACATTAAGATTGCTTGTAGCAGCAACTTCATCTACAATCTTGTGAACATTTGGTCGGTTTTGTTCAGTTACACAGCCGTATGTTTCATACAAATGGAAGATCAACTTCACGGGCTTTCGTTTCAAGTTAAGGGAACCCTCGTCTGTTACACCGTTGGAATGCAGGATATGTAGAATAGCAATTTCTTGGCACATATCTTTCGAAGTCTTGAAAATTTTCTCTGCCATTTGTAACTCGTCACCTTGGCAATTTGACTTCCATTGTAAGACTAACCCAACCAAAGCATTGGCTGCCGTCACTCTCTCTTCGCATTGAGGCCATCTGGAGAGCAGGGATAACTCCGTCTTGACTGCAACCTCGGCATTTTTCACTGCAGACAGAAGGTCAGCTGCTTTTTCAAAGTGAATACTTGCCAAAGGATTGATGGACACACCTCCTTCTGTAGGCTTTTCAAACAAACAGGGCGAGATCAAGTTGTTGACAGCCGTGACATATACTTGATCTTCTTGCATCTTCAAAATTTGGCAAAGTCGAAGAAGTTTCGTGATGGTTTCATCATTCAACTCAGGTGCAATAATTTTCCAAGGCTTTCCATAGAACAGTGGATGAAAAGGTAATCTTTTCTCAGCTAAGCTTTTGGGGAGGACAACATGATCTTTCACGCCAAAGCCTAACTCTTTAACTTGAAAATGTTCCTCATACTCGGACGGTGAGGCAATTCGTGTGTATTTTGTTAAAATATTCAACACTTCCAGCTGTCTTTGAAACACGTCTTTATCTTCACCGCTCGAAAACTTGATAATTTCATCTAAAACTACCAACAGTCGCTCGTAATCGTACAGTGGAAGAGAGAGAAGAACATCTTTCAACAAGGCTAACAAATTGGACACATTTGACTGACTGGACATACAGTTGAGTGCATGAACAAGATTTTCCTGGAATGCTTTGACGCTGCTGGATACACCAAAAGGGCCACAAAGAAGTGTTGGATCACCAGGAGAACAAATTGTCCTACTTCCCGCTAAATTAAATTTAATGTAGGTATGCAAAGTATCGTCCATATTTATGGAAAAAGACTTGCAAAATTCTATAACGACCTTTACATCGACTCCAGGCTTTTCTAACAAAAGTTCGAGTACTTTCATAACTTCTTTTGTCTTACCAATCAACAGATTTTCGCAAGTGATGTCGAGCTTCTGGAGCTTGGCGTGCCATAACGCATCTGAGTACAATTCTTTAACAGCATTGACAATTTTATCGTCGCAAAAGCTTTTGGTAAAACTCAGTAAAACCTTGAAAACAGCAATAGCCTGAGATGCATCATGTCCTTCATCCACAGCAAAGTCAATCTTTAACTTCTGGAGAGCAGCGTCTTCTGGAATAGAGCTTAAATATCCAAGAGCTATACTGTGGTCGATATTATTGCTATGCAAAACCTTGGATACAAGATTAAGCAACATTGAAGAGACGTGTTGGACACCATGTACACCCATTTGATGTAGCATCGCCATTTTATGGTTTTGTTCCGCATCATCTTTCTCCGTGTGTGCTGCTTCGTCCAGTGACGTGAAAACAAGAAGATGGCGCAGCGAAAACATGGCATAGTGTAAGGCCAATTCGTGGAGATTGTTCTCTTCCAAGTAGAAAACCAAATCTCGACATGCGATTGTTAGATTTTCCAAACATGCAGTAGGGCTTTTGCTGACCAGGAGAACTGACTTTACAAAGCTGTTGTAAAGGGGAAATGCAGCGTTTCTATCCAAAACAAAACCATTATCTCGAAACCGACTGCCATTGTTCCACAATAACAGAAGATCTTCCGCACAAACTGATATAGACAAACTAAGATCATCACTTTCACAACTGAGGTAGAGCATTTCTGAGAGCCAACATACTTTACACAAATCCAAATAATCGTTTAGGTTGACTGCTTCACCAACTGTTATTGCACGACAAGCCAATCTATAGAGCATTTCTGGGACATTGAAACCTGTCGAAGATATGATATCACCCTCGCCAACTTGTTGCTGCAAGAGTGCCATGCAAAGAGCAAAGACGTCTTCACTTGAGAGCTCATGTATACTCTGCTTCAACCATTCATTATAAATAATCATTGTGCTTGAGTTCAAACTATTCGGATGATCAAAAATATACTGAAGCATAATTTTGTTCTGCAACTGTACATGAGATAAGCCAAACAAACTCCCTAACCGCGATAATTTGTCCAGATCATGCACTTTGCCGTCTTCCATTTTGATCAATCTTTGTATGGGAATATCGCTCTTTTTTAGATAGGCAGACAGGATCTCGTTACTCTTGTCTACGTCGCTGTAGTCGTGATAGGTTACAAATATAGAAAACTCTTTCTCAAGCGCAAGAATGCTCTTCAAAGTATTGAGAGTAACTTTCATATCATCTGTAATCTTACAGATGTTTTGAAGAAACTCCAAAGTATGAACACCAGCTTCCAAAACCAAATTGCGCTCACTTCGGTCATCTTCGTCGTCCGCATAAACATCGACAACAAGCGACACCCATGTGAGAAAATACTGGGCAACAGACACAACTTTCGAATCATCCACATCGACCAGCAACTGAGCACATTCATCAGGTAGACCTTTCAAGCACAGATTTCTGAGCCTAATGACATAAATATCTTCTTCAGACATGCAGTGATAGGTTTCCACAATTCGCAAAGCATCTTTTAATGCGGTCTTGTGTGATGTGCCAAGCATATACTTAACCACGCTTTTGAGATGTATATCACTAGAGAATTCCATATCACGAATACCATAGTGGCTGAGAATCTTCTTGATCTCCATTAAGCAATAGCTCATCTTCAAACTTGAATTGGATGGGTTAGCGTGCATTGCTTTGCTAACCATTTCTTCAATTGTGCTGCTCCAAGGAACTGATGCCCAAGACATAAGCATTAGAATTGCTTCTAGCCGTTTTGATCTGGTCTTGATACATCCGGTTATTTCCACAAACCGATCTTCATACAAGGTATTTGACGAACTAGAATAAACTTGCTTCGTTTTGTGACTGATATATTTCAGAAGAACATCATCAATTTGAAAACCATGTTGAACTCCATATTGGGTAATTTGGTTGCTAATGACGTTGGAAATTAAAGTGACGGCCAGGACACAGTCCAGCATTTTGAACATAATTCCGATCGGTGTTTCCTTCGTAAACTCTGCCAAAGGAAGTTTACAGTGATAATTGATATGAAGCTTCTTTAACTCTGTTAAATGTTCAACCAGTAGTGCTAGAGATGAGACAGGGTTAGATTCACTGTCCTTCATTGATACTTTTACAAGAGCAGATCCGTAGTCTTGGCTGACAATAACTGGTGTTGGAATATTGATGTAGTTGCTGTTCTCAACATTGCATTTCGACACAACATCAAACAAAAGCGATGCCATATCAAGTCCATTGTTGGGCCAGTCCTCCTTTTCGACAATTTCCAACGAAACCACTCGTTGCTCTAACCAAGAAGCTAAAACATACAAAGCATCCCGATCATTGACTGAACACACGACGAAAGGAACTAGATACGACTTCAGCCATGAAACTATACTCGATGATGGTAAGTCTGATCTAACAGATGCCAAAAGTTTTTGCAACTTCTCGCATGAAAAGTCAATTTCGAATTCAGTATGGTGGCGTAACCAAATGACAGCTGCACTGGATAACTTTCCTTCACTAAGTGCTTGCGTTACTTTGTTCAACATACTTCCAGTGGAAAATTGACGCCACTTATGGCCGCTGAATTGGGAGTCTCCAAAAACCATTTGAAAAGTGTCAAGCCGGTGTATTGAAAAAAGAACATCATTCATTTCGTTACTGTAGTTGTTCTTTTCCTTACCAGAAACCTTTCCGATTTTATCTTTGGCAAAACAGAGTAACCTATGAACTTGTTGCAGTTCAGGAGGGGAAGCTGCCAGACAGCACTCAACACAAAATTCAATACTGCGTATGTTTTGGAGGGTTTCTTCGAGGTCATCAATAAGTCGGTCCACTGATAAGAATTTATCTTCAGGGTTTATATCGCTTTCCGATATATTTGTTGATATATCAGCTAAGATAGTACTTGCCTTTGCTTTGTACACAAACTCGACATCCAATCTAAACGCTTTTGAAAATTCCAAAGCCGCATGAAATCTCTTCTTTCGAATCAAATTGTAAACACGATGTTCAGGAGATGCTTCTGATAGACATTTCAATGCCAAACCTTGGATATTGTTATTGCTAACTCTGCTGACATATTCTTCAGTGTAGTATACCTTTTCCTGCAAATTAGACTTGGCAAGAGAACAACTCTTGGCTACTTCTTTTGAATATATTTCTTGAAAATGAGGCAACTGGTAGATCTTTATTTTGCTTTTTCCATCATCAGTTTCAGTCAACGTTACAACTTGTCCTGCATCAGATGTTATGGTACCAGCTTCAATGGTTGCCGCGCCACTCGTCAAAACAAAGTCCTTTACTGGATGACAAGGAGCTGGCATCATTATTAACGCATCCGTGTCCAAAACGCATAGCCTTGATTCTTCATCTAAGATAAGCAGCTGTTTACCATCAAGACTTACATCACACTTTTTTACACCGTTGCCATCCAAAAAGGTTGCCTCGATTACATCCACCAAATTTTGATCGGTCCATATGCTGAGTGCGACATTTCCTGTCCCAGAGACGACCACTGACGCTTTTAAAGAGACATTCGATTCAACGCAACAGCTGGTGTCATGATGCACATCTGAAACTTTTAAAATTTCTCTCTGGATGTTTTCTTTCAATTTACTGATGGAAGCAAAATCATTTGATTCAAGTGCACCGGACAATTCACGTAAGGGAAGATCTTTGAAAGAGAACAGACATCCATCGTGCGACAAAATCGTAAGATTTACACCATCCCTTTCTTGACTGCGTGTGAACATGGAATGGCTAAAATAAGAATCTGAATTCAGCCTCTCTTCTAGTGTCTCGACTAGAGTGGAGGTGAACACTACATCTCCAAGGGCAAAAGAAAAAAAATGGATAGATCCAGAACTATCGCATATGACCAGGAATTGTGAATCCGGACACCATGCCATCGTGTCGACATTGCTTTCGAATGAAACAGTTGACACAAAACTTGATTGCTCTCCATCAAATATAAAAATTTCGTTGAAGATTGACAGAGCGATCCCTCCAGAAGATACTGCGGTTGATGTGATGAGCGGTTGGAAATCGGCTTTCCCATCTGACGAGATTCTAGCAAGTTCGTCGACCTTGTATAGAGCACCACTTTGTTCCCTTCTAAACATATAAAATATGAAATGTCTGTTTTATATATGCCCGGGGAAATATTAGGCCACTCTCTGTGCCTACATGGCACTATTAATATAGCATAAAAAAGTTCGAAACAATTGATTGGACAATCATTCATTGCTACACAATGGAATAGTATTCATTGCTACACAATGGAATGGTGGAACAGCTGAGGCCTGTTTTTTTCTTCAAAAAATCCAACACTATTATTCTGACAACTCATATTATTCTGACACTGCATTTTGTTGTCTCGAGCGGGATTCGAACTTGCATCTTCGGGTTTCTAGACCGCTGCTCTACCCAATGAGCTATAGAATCGACGGGGATTGGGTCTTATCCAATTTAAATTAAGTGAAATGTCCGACCAAGGCAAAAGCATTGGACAATTGACAAATCTGTGAAAAATGCTGTGGTGCATTGTATGTTGGTCAAACTCAAATTCTTTATTGTTGTGTTTTGTTTGAAATTTATATGTTGGGCTTTAATATTTTTCAATCATTATTTGAGTAGTTAGTCTATAGTTAATGTACGAACTGCAGTTTGCCGGCAGCAATTTGCAGGCCTTGCTGTATATTGAAATAACGCCAAGTCTACTTCTCAGGATCCTACAGTAAATACAATTCTGTTGTCATTTAGCCCCCCCCCCCCTCTCCCCCCACAAAATATATCCAGTGGTTCCAGTTTTCCAACCAACCTTTTTTCAGCTAATCCTATTTAAATTTTTATGTGGTTGAGTTGTTTTTGCTTACATATCGAGTCGTTGTTCACTTTGTGATTCCAAAAATGGCATCCATTTGGCACAATTATTACGACTTACCTACCTGGAACCATTGAACTGATCTGGATATTCTCGCTTTGATAGGCCTTACAGGATCTTGACTATAGGATCCCAGAGGCTTTAAGATATTAACAGGATCATATAAGATTTTTACCAGGGGCCACACATATAACCTGAACTGTGCTTTTAGCTATTCTGGGTAATTGACCCTGGAAATTTACCATACTCCCAAAATCTAAATTCTTAGTTAAGACCCCTACGGATAGGTAAATCTCAAGACATTGTGTTGAAATGGAAACATATAAAAAATGAAATAGCGACGTATGAAGCGAACTTGTCTAAATTGTGGCCCAGCAACGTGAAAGTAGACAACAATAACGGAACAGGTTTCAAAACAGTGATATTACTTGTTTTGAAAATCAGATGAGCAACATTTATATCCTCCCTAACAAGTCAAAAACATGGCCCTACTCCAGTCTACATTCCACATAGGCAGGTTTCCCAATAGAATTTAGAGTAAGAGACTTTTTGAAAGAAGTAAGTGGCTATCTGGTGTTGAAGGTACCACTCTCCTGGGGGAAGGTATCCTGGGGGAAGGTATCCTGGGGGAAGGTATCCTGGGCTCCCCCCCCCCACAATTGTGAAATTTAGACCAGCTATTTTCTACGCTATAGACAGCAAAAATCGCCAGGTGCCCGGGCTTCTACAGTATTGGGACCACTGTGTAGGTCACGCCAAAGATCTTTAGCACGAGTTTTGGCTTGCTGGCGCACAATCACATCAAGGTTGCTGCAAAATTATCACTGTTCAAGACCAAAATTATGGCCAGAACCTTTCATTGAGATTTTTGGGCATCTCGCTGAGCGATAGAACAGTTGAAGGGTTTTTGTAGAAGAAAATGTCAAGCAGAAGATTATATACAATTTTGGATCTAACCAGGAGCAGCTGCAACAAATGTAACTATAGGACCTCTGGCAGGAATCCAACCTGCAGTTCCCTACAGGGTGTCTAAAAAAACGCTATGAAAATTCAACAGGCTGTCGTGCATCACAAACTTAACTAAACAATTCAGCTGTTATTTAGCTTTTCTATGATATATTTCTTAAACCGTAACGATGAAAAATGGCCACATACTTGTCAAATAAAAATTTTCGGTCGAAATCACATTCTTCCACCTTTGGGAATTAAAAATACATTAATTATGCAAAGTTAATCAATCCAAAAGCACTGCGAGTCTGCTGCAAGGTACTTGTTTCGTAAAACGTTTTGATTACGAATGTTCTCTGTTCAGGGGTTAATTGAACCGTGTTTAATGCAATAATGGACGTTCTTATGGTCTCACTAAGACGAGTTGAGCTTATTTTAGATTATTTAACATTCAATTTTAATTCCCTCTTGGGAATTGTTTACGTTTCGTTTTCCATGCAATTCCCAACGGTGGAAGAATGTGATTTCGACCGGCAATTTTTATTTGACAAGTATGTGGCCATTTCTCATCGTTACGATTTAAAAAGAGTATCATTGAAAAGCTAAATAACTGTTCTTTTGTCCTATGTAAAAATTGAATTGTTTAGCCACGTTTATGATGCACGACAGCCTGTTGAATTTCCATAGCGTTTTTTTTAGACACCCTGTATCACTTATTTATAATTTCCATCTCAGGGTTCCCAATAGAAGCCGGCAGCCGGTGAATTTCTCCACCTATAGTGTAGACAATCGCCGGTTGTTTCTCCAAATTATAACCCAAATATTTCTTCTTCAGCACAAAAATTCAGGAGACAGATTTCTTGCTTTTAAAACATAGTTTTAGACCATATTATTTGTTATATATTTGAATAATATGATGATATCTCCATAAAAAGACTTTCCAAAATGACTGGAAATGCCTTAACAGCCTGAATTTCTCACAGGGAGATGTCCTTGGAATGCCCATGTAGGTGATACCTAATTCAGACCCACATAGCCGCCTAATTCTTTAAAAAAACCCTCCTACTCTAAATTCTATTGAAAACCCTACATCTACAAAAATAGGTATGCATTACGTATATGTGGTAGCCTATTTAGTCTGTTTAATACAGTTGGAGTTAGGGTTAGGAATGCTCGACCTAACGTCAATTTCTGAAGTCCAACCAACATCAATTTTCGACGTTACGCCAATTTGACACCGACTTCATCATCTCTGCGAATAACATTTACACCGTTGTTTAGCGTACAGTAAGATAGTGGCTAGCTGCTGATCGGCTAGCCACAAAAAAACCATCAACTGTTAATTCTATCGAGCGAGATGCAAAAACATTGATGTTTACCCATGCCTTATTTTGGCATGGCCCACCACATATATGTACAAGAACTTGTGATTAGAACTCGACAACTGGAGTCTGTAGCTCAGTTGGTTCGAGCGCTGCCACAGATTATAAGTATATACCAGGAGCCGGTTGTACGAAAGGCGTTTAAGTCGCTATCCACCGTTTAACTCGCTATCTGCCGGATAAAATTTAAACGCTCGAGAAATCGCGTTGTACGAAGCCCGTTTAGGGCTATCCACCGGTTAAATTTCGCCTATCCACCGTGTAAACTTAAACGGTCTCTTGAGACTGTTTAAATCGTTATACGGCGGATAAACTCGGAGTTTGAAGATAAAACAATGATTATTTCGGATGAAAGAGCATGGGATAGTTATTGAAATGCACAATTATGTAGAGAAGTTATCTTTTTAAATCCAACAAGACGCTCTGTAGAGCGTTAACTCGCTGGGGATATACAAATACGCACATTACTGTATATGAATGATACATACAGTACACAGCTATTTCAATTTAAGCGGAAAAGTCGTATAACAGTATAGTGCTCTCACTGCTTTGTTTATTTAGGTAAATACCATGTTATTATCACTCTAACTTGCATTGTGCCCCAATTGGCAATGCGCCCTACTTTATTATTTTAATGTCTCGTACAGTCAGTACCAGTCGATTTTTCTTGTCAAGGGGAGAGTGCTGCCGCTCACAACTTCGCTAGGTTTGTATTGCAGGTACAGGTGGCTTAGTTTCGAAGTTATTGTTAGTATAATGACCCCAGTTCAGGATTTTATACAATCAGACACAGTACTAAAATGCGGTGCCCAACAAATAAAACTTCCGGCGTTTCCGCCTACAAATACGGCCGTCGGTTGGTCCGTACGCTAGGATTAAACTGCGCTCTAAAACGTTCAAAATAAAATATTTTGGGCTCATTTGGGCTCAAAATAGTATCAAAATGAAGAGGAAAGTGAGACGAAACCACTGGTATACGGCCGAAAAAGAGAAAACCGACGATACCTGCAAAGTTATCAAGGATCAAACGTACTGCATTTTTTATAATTAGTTTAATATAAGTTTCGAGCGATTTGTCAACAATACAATTTCGCTTGGCTTTCAAAGACAAAGGCCATAAATCGCTAGAATACTGTTGTTTTGTAATACATTTGATATCCGTTAGTACAATTTCTTACGCTGAATCGAACGGTGGTATTTTTATCCTTTTTGCGCCATTAGGCATTACAAATACAAGGACAAACGTACTGCGAGTGATTTGTCAACAATACGTACTGCGAGTGATTTGTCAACAATACAAATTCGCTTGATTTTGAAAGGCCATAAATCGCTAGAATACAGGGGCCGGTTGTACGAAAGGTGGATAAGTTATCCAGTGGATAAGTCCTATCCAATGGATAAATCTCCTATCCAATGGATAGCTATCTGCCGAATAAAAATGCGTTGTACGAAGCACGGATAGCAGGGTGGATAGCTATCCGTCGGATAACCTTAATTTTAACCGGAGAAAACCGGAATTTTCCTGAAATTTCTTATCTCTACGTCAGCTGTTGCTAGGTATTTGTAAACTTTTGTTGTAGTATCTTCGTATAACTTGTGAATTCCACTAACCTTTGAACTATCAACTTGCAATAAAGGTTTTTTGTTCATGTTTATATTTTGGAGTTTTTCTCGACCAATCGTTGCAATACTTCGTTTTCCCACAGTGAAGAGTTTGCTATCTACTTATCGATATTTCTTTAAAAGATTTTTGGCTTCTTTATGCGAAGGCAATAGAAAAGACTGCGAGTTCCGTTTTCTTGTTTCAATTAATACGTTGATTCAGTTTTATTTTATATACTGTCCGAATATTTGTTCTTTGACCTTTCACGTCATTCAAAACAATTTTAA